TACAGTATCCTTGTGGGCAAGTTAGATTATAACCAATTCATCTTTTTCCTTGAGGGAAAAAATTTGCCCCCATTTCCTTTTACCATTGTCGTTCTTATCGTTAAATCGCACAAAACTACACAGAACTCAACAAAACATCTATCAAAATCAATTTTCATTTTCATTTTTGGTGCAACAGTCATCTTGACATTTACTTTTTTTAAGGCAAATGGATTAAATTATGCACCCAAACTACAGAGTACATAATAGTCCAAATATCCTTTTTGTCTTTAATAATAACTCAAAAATACAAAAAGACATCAGTTGTGGTCAACTAGGTAATTCTAGTGGCTCTAAATTAATGACTGAGACGTTTGATGACTCTAATTAGGTTTTTATTTATGGCATACTTAGAATTGCTCTAGGGCCTTTGAGAAAGCTGCAGACATGTACGTACATTCTCAATTATTTTGTTCTGCAGATATCCCAATTTTATTTATGAAGTTGAAGAAGCAGGTTCTCGAGAAAACTAGAATAATTTGTTTATTACATAAAAATAAATTCTGATATTGATACTTTATTCTAAAACCTTTTTTATTATTCAAGTAGGTCAGACTAGTGGTATGTTGTGATTAATTCATTTTTAAAGGTGTAAAAACTTTTTAACAGATCCTACTTACTATTTATTACATCGATTTTAAAAAACAGGAACGTCACAGTGACAAATGTCGCGATGATCGCTGATCGCTGCGTGCAGACGCTGCATAGATCGCCGCGACCAATGACAGGAAGCGTTGATGTGAACACATCGCTACAAATTCATACACGCTGTCTGGTCGCCATCGCCATCGTCATCGTGCACGCCGGCTGCACGCGTTGGTCTGGTCTAACCTTTATAAAAAGTTATAAAAATGAATAAATAATACGACGGGAACGTGCTATAAATATTGTTTAGCAACAAAAGGCAGAGGTATTTCACTGCAACCATACCTGATGTTAAGTATGATGCAGTCTAGGCTGGTCTATACCTGCTAGGGTTTGAAAAGTCTCAACATTTACATAGTCCCGGGTCACAAGACAGCTGACGATGAAAGACCCGGGACGTCCCGGGACTCGAGATAGCTAAATTTTGCAAAAGTCCCGGGACATCCAGACTCGAGGCCCGGACCTTCGGGTTCTAATACCTGCCCTATTCATTCTCGTTTTGAAGAGGCCCAGATCACAGTATTTGGAAAATATATGAGCAGTCACGGGACTATTCCCACCTCTCGTTCCCACCACTGCAACTCCTGTGTAGCCAGGATCTACAGCTTGACCGCCACAAAAAAACCCAACCAATGAAGATTAAGTTTGTCCCGGGGGAAAATTAAACTGTCATTGGACCCGCAACGAAATTAATCAGAAGAACATAGGAGGAGTTCGAAATTAAGGTTCGACTTCCCTCCATTGCAAAGCGGATGACAGGTGACAAACAAAGGTTTAAAACCTTTAAGAAAAGATTATGCACCACGGACAATAAATTAAATATGAGCAGTCAGTGAGTTTCAGTCTCTAGTTGCTCACAGTCACATTATGTGGGACTTACGATATTACTAAAGTAGCAGAAAAGAACTCGGATTATCTCGAGTTTAAGTGTGTTGCCACACTGGCGGATTGCAAGCGGTTTCAAAGCGGAGCGGCAAAGCCTTAAAGCAAATAGCTTTCTAGGAAACCCGTGTATCTTTAGAGAGACATTAGGTACATAAAGGGTTAGCTTTTCAGATCAAATACTGTCTGAATAAGTCTACTTTTATGGGATAAAAGTCAGAGACTTCGTTGGCGTAAATTACGATGTGTCAGTCTTTTCTGAAAAGAGACACAAGTATATTTTTTATAATACAAACTAACTTTCCGCCCGCGGCTTCGGTCGCATGAAAAAAGGCTGTTTTTAGGGTTTTCCCGGAAACAATTCGAATTTTTCTTGCCGTTAAAACCATCGTTATCGTTATCGAACGTTAAAAAAAAGAATTGGTAAAATTAGTCCAGGCGTTGTTGAGTTAGGGTAATACATGCCCCAGTGGGATAGGTGCCGCGATTTTAAGTACACTATGTTACAAACAACTTAGCCTAAAGTTATAGTACGTATAATAGAAAGGGACCTCCCCGTACCACTTTTCGCCTCGCAAACCATCAAAGAGTGCGTTCGTTTAGCCAGTGAGAGCAAAAATCTTCCGCGACCAAACCTTAGCGAGCGTCGAAATAAAATTGGTAAGTATCTTTTAATGCATATTTTTTTTGTCAGCTGTAAAATGAAGCAGATTTTTATATAATTTGATAGACTATCTTATAAATTAGACGGGATAGCCATGTTTAATTCGATTTTTAGTGTTATTATATTTTTTATTAAAAAAGGCACCTATCCTATGCTAAAAGGATAGTTGCCTAATTTTTTTTGGGTATAGATGCCCTTAGGGCCATGTCCCATGCACCTAGGGGCATCTATCCTAACCTGCTCTTTTTGTCACAAGTAGCAAGTCGTTAAGAAGAAAAAAAGAATGTAGAAGGCGAAGTAAAAATCTAAGGCGTCCAGACAATATGACAAGTAATGACATCAATATTACTGTCATTACTTCCTTCGGTAATGACATTCTAAATCTCCCAACATACAAATAGCCTTGTCGCACTATAACCGCCATTCCTTGATTCCAGCCACCACATTGTCAGTGGTATAATGACATTATTTTATCGTAATATCATTGTTACTGATATTATCTGCTCCCATTACGTTTAAAATTGTGCAGAAAAACTAATTTAGTCCAGGTTCCTGGTCACTTATTAACAACGCATGTTTCAAAGAGCCCATATAAATTGTTTATCACTTAAACATTAATATCATAAAAACTAGAGCCAATTCAGTACTTTCGTTAATATATTCGTAAATTGTATGCTTCAAAGTATATAAATCCGAAGAAATAACCAGGGCAACAAAAAAAAAATTTTTTTTGTTGAGCTGTGTTATTGAACCTTAAAATGACGTTTGGTTAGGCATTTACACTGATGGCACTATGACTAGGTGTCCGTTGCTACAAACTTTCGAAGCACGTAGCCGTGTCATAGTACTACGGTATGCCGTAGCAGATTGCAGTGCCGTAGCAGCTGCTTTAGAACGCAGCAGTTTTCGTAGCAACTTTATAATGCTGTAGCAGTGTTTCGTAGCAGCATAACGTCGTAGCGCGTGGTTCATCAAAATGTTTTTATGGGTGCAAGCAAGCACTCCGTATCAAATCAAAATAACAAAATTCAGCGTCCAAAACCGCGTGCAATAAAGTGGTTTACGTAACGCGCACTCTTTAGCGTACAGAAGTACTGTCCGTAGCAAAACAAAAAAAACTCAGCAACCAAAACCGCTACATATAACTTCACGTAACGTGTACGAAAGCACTGTCCGTAGCAAAACAAAATAACAAAACTCAGCATCCCAAACCGCGTGCAATAAATTGCTTCACATAACGCGCTCTGAGGAGAGCGCGTTAAGCGTTAAGGAACGGTTAGAAGTACTGTCCATACCAAAACAAAAGAACAAAATTCAGCGTCCAAAAACCGCATGCAATAAATTGCTTCACTTAACGCGCACTCCTTAGCGTTCAGAAGTGCTGTCCAGTGTCCATAGCAAAACAAGAACAAAAAACTCAGCGTCCAAAACCGCGTGCAACAGTGGTCGATGTAACGCGCTCTCCTTAGCGGTCGGGCCTCAAGGGCGCGAGGGCCGCCAAGGAGGCGCGTCGACGCCGCTAGGAGGCTGGCAAGGCCGGTGCTTCACATAACGCTCACTCCTGAACAACTGTCCGTAGCAAAACAAATGAACAAAGCTCAGCGTCCAAACCCGCGTGCAACAAAGTGGTTGATGTCCCTCCAGCTCGAGGGAGAGCGTGTATTGGCGCTCTTCGGCGATGACTAGGGAGCGTCCAAAACCATGATACAGTACTTCACGCAACGCTCACTCTTGAATAACTGTCCGTAGCAAAACAAAAAACAAAACTCAGCGTCTGAAAACCGCGTGGGATAAAGTGGTTTACGTAACGCGCACTCTTTAGCGTACAGACTTTATTTTATGCTAGACAAGGCAGGTATTTGACCGCAATCGCACCTGGTGTTAAGTGAGATGCAGTCTAGGATGGTACATATCTGCCCTGTAAGTACCTATTCACTCTCACCTTGGAAAGGCCCGGATTATATTAGTACTGTCCGTACTAAAACAAAAGAACAAAACTCAGCGTCCAAAAACCGTGTGCAATAAATTGCTTCACGTAACGCGCACTCCTTAGCGTTCAGAAGTGCTGTCCAGTGTCCATAGCAAAACAAGTGAACAAAACTCAGCGTCCAAAACCGCGTGCAATAAAGAGTTTCACGTAACGCTCACTGCTGAACGACTGTCCGTAGCGTGCGACAAAGTGGTTGATGTAACGCGCTCTCCTTAGCGGTCGGGCCTCAAGGGCGCCAGGGCCGCCAAGGAGGCGCGTCGACGCCGCTAGGAGGCCGGGGAGGCCGGCGCCTGCTGCAGCCCCGCGGTGGAGCCGCGAGCAGCGCGCGGCTCCAGCTCCAGGGAGAGCGTGTATTGGCGCTCCTCGGTGATGACTAGAGAGCGTCCAAAACCGCGTGCAATACAGTACTTCACGCAACGCTCACTCTTGAATGACCGTAGCAAAACAAAAGAACAAAACTTAGCGTCCAAAAACCGCGTGCGATAAAGTAGTTTACGTAACGCGCACTCTTTAGCGTACAGAAGTACTGTCCATACTAAAACAAAAGAACAAAACTCAGCGTCCAAAAACCGCGTGCAATAATTGCTTCACGTAACGCGCACTCTTTAGCGTACAGAAGTACTGTCCGTACTAAAACAAAAGAACAAACAAAAATCAGCGTCCAAAAACCGCGTGCAATAAAGTGGTTCACGTAACGCGTAGCGTTCAGAATTACTATCCAGTGTCCATAGCAAAACAAGAACAAAAAACTCAGCGTCCAAAACCGCGTGCAACAGTGGTCGATGTAACGCGCTCTCCTTAGCGGTCGGGCCTCAAGGGCGCCAGGGCCGCCAAGGAGGCGCGTCGACGCCGCTAGGAGGCCGGGGAGGCCGGCGCCTGCTGCAGCCCCGCGGTGGAGCCGCGAGCAGCGCGCGGCTCCAGCTCCAGGGAGAGCGTGTATTGGCGCTCCTCGGCGATGACTAGAGAGCGGTCCAGGAGGAACTCGCAAACCTATGAAACACAATGGTATTTACAATAGACTATTTGACACCACCAATCTATTGACGTACTTTTCAAAACTGTCAAAACGAGACTCCCATAGATTTTGTAGGGAAATACTAGCCAGTGACGTCAATATTTTGTCAACTCAAACTACTTTTTTCAATTACAATGCAACATCAAAACAAAATCTTAATTTACAGGTAATTTAATTGTGATTTCAAATTATTGGTGAATGGTGTCAAATAGTGTATTCTTGTTAATTCAATATAGCAATTACTGTGTCGATTCCTAAAACGATTTAAAAAATGTTAATAGTAGAAAATATTTTAAAATTACCTTCGGTATGTGATCGATCTTGTAAGGAGTTTGCTGAAAGTTCCTGATTTCACGAATGACGTGCGCAATCTGAAAAATATAATAATTCATATCAGTGTCCCCATCTCTTTTGAGGGTGAAGATGAGATCAAAAAATAACGCGATAAAAAATAACTTTAAATACTTACCATCCTCATCTTGGAGAAATTAAGCAGTCCATCAGGGGTGTAATTTGATGTGCCTTCTTCAATAAAAGACAAATCTGACAGATACATGCCCAAATATGGTATACATGGGGGATCACATCTGCAAACAAACATAGTATTTGAATTCCATCTGTACATCGGTAAGTCAATAAAAAAACATAAACTAAAAATAAAACAAACCTATGTAGAGCATCCCTGAGGATTCTGAATCGACACTCGGATGATATTATTGTCTGCATCCTTTCAATTGTTTGTTTGCTCTGAAAGAAGAAGAAATACGACTTCCTTTATAACTTTCACCAAATTCTATCATAAGCATTTAACTAATATTTTGTCTGTATCAACAACAACATATTATTATTATTTTCTGAACACATTTGTATGATATTAAGCCTAAACTAAAAGGTCTAATGTTGGTGTGTCAAAATGTTGTATTGTTATATTAAAGTTTACAGTTGTGTATTTGGATGATGTTTTTATAATTTCGTTGAATTTCGAAACTCACAGTTCTGGACACCTTCTCCCAAGTTTTCTTGAGTCGATACACGGACGTGTTAGACAGGGCAGCACAGACTTGTAGAACACCGTTAAAGTTATGCAGGCATCGGGCTATATCGGCTACTGCCGCCCATTTCTCAATCGCTGCCACTCGACCTTAAAATGTTAGGTATTCAATTAAATAGTTGTTAATCTATCTCTAGCAATATTCTATCAATAAAACATTAAAATATCATCATACCAGCAAGTGTATATTTTTTCAAGATCTCAGATATGACCAGGTTGGAAATATGGTTGAAATGGGACGTCATCATCAAAATATGAGGAGCTCGCTCCGCTTTATCTGCCTTTGTCCATGCTTGACCCAAGAACTCTCTGAAACAAATACAAATAATTTGCAGTAGAAAAAAAATACTCCTTCCGAACTCAAAATTTTAGTAGTTATTAGAATATGAAGAGAACATACTCGCTATTTATTGAGCTGAAGATTTGGTAGTCCAAATAAGTCATCTGTTCTGCAATCTCCAGCGCAGACAGAGTTTCAACACTTTCCTTCGTTGGCACCTAAAAACAAAATTACAGTTACTTAGTTAAATCGTAACGTACTTATACGATCTTACGAACTTAAAGGTACAGTTACACAGTTATGCTCATTACTAGCACGACACCACGATACTATTTTTGAAATTGCTACTTAGTAGCATTGTGCGTTGAAACATGCATGTTTAATGCATACTCAATTCGAGTTTTTTGGACCACGCTTATTTTAAGCATGCTAATAAGCACGTCATTTTGTGAGTATGTGTAACTGTACCATGTATTATGTATGTATGTACTTACATGAGGGGGAACAAATAATGCTTTCAAATCCACAGCTCGGTCTGGGGCGCGTTCTAACAGACGGAGCAGTTGAGCTGCTGCCTTATGCTCAGCAGGAAGCAGTCCAGGGCTCCCTTCAATCTCCTTCAAGAAGTCCATCGTCAGTCCTCGCAGGCGCTCATCCGCCCAGAAGTCGTGAGAATGTTTGGAAATCCAGTGCCTAAAATTAAAAAAATTAAAAATAATCAAGTTTTTTACTTTATTTGCTAATTATGTTTGCATTTAACAAGTGTCATTATTTTAAGTTACTTTTGTGAACACTATAATGTAACCTTGTTGGTGATCAAATAAATAAAATAAAATAAAATAACTATTCATTAACGGTTTCATTGGAAGAAGATGTAGATCCTGGCTAAATAGGAGTTGCAGTGGCGAAAGTGTGATGGGATAAATCCTGTTTATGACTAACAATAATTTAACTATTTCCTCTTATGAATTTGAGAGGGCCGTATTCTTGCAGTGGCAAAATCTAAAGACAATAGATTTATTGTAACTAGGCAGGCAGTAAGGCACACCCGTGCAACTATAACTACTAAAAAGATTAAATAAAATAAATGTTACCTCAATACATTCAGGACCCGCATAGTAGCAGCTGTAGATATGACTGAATCCCGCCTCGTAGCTGGAGGTGACGTGGGCGGCGGAGACCTAGGATTCGACGACGCTGAGGTGGCTACCGCGAAGGCTACGGCGGCGGTCGAGGTACTGCTCCTAGACCGAAATATCCAGTTATTGGAAGAACGGCTGAAGGTGCTAATCCTTTATAATGTTTGTCGTTATTCCAATATTATTAATTTGTATTGCACATAATATTACTAATAGTTACGTTAACCCCTCGTACCAAGCTAAATAAGCTTGTGTTACGAGTGGGTTCACCACAATAGTCGAACGATGGTATGGTTCGAACCAGTTCGGTCAGTCCGAAACCTCTCACCGTTCGTCTATCGTCATAATTATCTAGAATGAATAAATGGTATATTACTATCTTGATAGAGAATAAAAAATATTCATTAGTGAAAATTTTAAGAGATTTTTCCGATTTGAAGATCAGTAAAATTTTAAACTAGGTAAGTATGTAGAATAAAAGACTATTATAGTAAAAATAAAGGATTGCTTAATATAGACAGAGAATATGCATGCAAAAACTAAGTAGGTAGTGAAAATTTTGAAGGAAATAGATGCAGGAAGAAAATTATAAAATAATAAACAGGTTAAGAGTGGAAATCAATGATATGCCAATTTTATAGTTGTAGTTTAATTTAGAATATTAAAACATGCATAGAAAATATATATTTTATGTTAATTATACTAGTAATCGTTATTTATTCTCGCCACCACTCATGTTTATATATTTTATTTATCTAAATGAATAAATGGAATAAAATCATAAAGTAGGTACCATAAAACGTCTTGAAATGCGAATGTCCCAAAAGATGTAATATTTCAGAAATTACCAGTATTTACCAGTCAGTACTTTCAGGACAACTGCATTGCTCCCCGTTACAATCATAAACTAAATTCCAAGGCTAGTTTGCTAAAGGTCTAACACACAGATCTGTACAATATACGAGTACATTGTTTTGGTATAATCCGTTGGTAGTGTTGATGTCCAAATTCTGTTTCAGTCTATGTAGGTTGTAGTATTGATAGAAAGGTGAGGTTTAGGCAATTCGTCGAGTGTAAGGCGTGCTTTATTCAAAAGGTAAGTTTAAAACAGTAGGTATCATCATGTCACAATCAAACGTGTTTGGCATTTTCGTGGTGTTGTTTGTGATCGGGCCATGTATGCGTTGTTCACACTGGGTTTGCACATTAACTCTTCAAAAGGGTATAAAACGGATGAATGTTCTATTAAAGCGAAATATTATTCAAAAATACTCCTCTACGCCAACTCTACATTCTTTTTCTCTACGTCGTTTACCTTCACCAATCACTCACCACAACAGGTCTTTTCCAAAGCTGTTAAACGAATATTAATTAATAAAGAATATTTTGAAGACTGAAGCTAAAATTGGCGATAAATATTCTAAAAATACAACGAGGTCTTAAAATGATGAAAGATCTCGTGCAAAGCGTTTAAAATTTTAGTAAAATGATCAATATCATAATATAATTTGACATCATGAATAAGAATGGTGAGATACATGCCACAACACTGAGAATTGTGAGTTCCCACTTTTGTGCTAGAGAAATTAGTGAATTCACTAATCGAACAATGATTTGAAGAGAATCAGAGACGATTAGAAAGTCGTCTAGATATGAAACATAATGTGTTACCTTCTGTGAGACTGCCTAAATGACGTGATGACTACACCTGCTTTGGGCTGGCTGGTTTCCCGGCGGTAGTTCTGAAATCGTGCACATAAATAGATATCAGTTTTGAAACTTTGAGGGGTCCTAATTAGAAACACATATGTGACGATATTCTGTACGCCAAGCCTTTCTAGATGGCTTTATAATAGTGTATATTTATATTAGAGTTTGATACATAAAATGAATGTTGGTGTAAGTTTGCAGACTAAATCAAACAGTATCAAAGCCTTCACTGCGGCGGCTGTTTGCCACGCCTGCTGTTTATTATCAAGCAGATCTTTGATCTTGTTTTACATGACCTAAAGGGTTTGATTGACTAAAGGTATAGTGGAATATCTTCAAAAAATAGTAGTAACTATAATATATCAATAGATCCGAAAATATAGAAAAAATATATAAAATACCAGGATAAAGTCGTACTGCGGGAATCTTCTTAACCTTCATAGGTCCTACTTTTGGGGTGCAACTAAAGGGAAAAGAGTGCGAAACCTTACTTGAGCCACCTGTGAAACCTGCGAGGTGACGGAGGAGCGCGGCTCAGAGCCGCCCCAGTAGCGGCGCCGCTCGCTGTTGATCGACGAGTTGGTGTAGCGGCGCTCACTATGGACATTCGGATAAATAAATACTTGTAAAAGTACATTAAAGTCACGTTCAGTTTTCGAGGGTAGGCTTTTAAAAATTTCAAGATTTTTATAATTTATTTGGTTCATAGTGAATACTTGATAAAAGAATGTAATCTGCTTTGCAACGCATGTGTGTGACTTCTAATCATAATATTCTAATGTATTTTAAAAGGTATCTAACCGTTACTTTACTTTAGGGTCTGCATCAGCTAATAAAGGTTTCTCGCAATGGTCGCCGTATTGTCATCCATCGTAGCTCTTCTTCTCGCTTGAGATTTGATATTGGACGCTCTCTCCTATGGTCTTTAATTGATATCCCTCAGTTCCCTCTTTATCACGGAGTAGAACTTGTTAAGGGCGTCGGTCGTGACTCAACATTAATTTGTCACTGCTCCTCCTGTCCTTTTTAAACCAGCACAACAAGGAGATATGACTTACCTACCTGGCCTGTCACCTTCAATTTCTTGCTTGATATCCTTGAGATCTTCCTCGCCCTTTGAAACCAGCACCCAGCCAGCTATATTAAATTACTTAACTGACCTGTCACCAATTTATGCCCGTGGATAGAGGAGTCAGCCCCGACGCGTTGCCACCAGCCGTCACAACCTAGAAAAACTGACCTGCCTGACCGCCTATGCGCGTATCTGGCGGCGTAGGAGTCAGAGGCGTCGCGCGCGCTGTTGAAAGTTTCCCGCAATTAACACCGTAATGCATCGTGGCTTGACTTTCTGCTAGACGTTGCTCCTCCACTCCCTTTGAAATCAGCACCCATCTGGGCAGCTATAAGTTACTTACCTGACCAATTTATGCCCGTGGATAGAGGAGTCAGCCCCGACGCGTTGCCACCAGCCGGTACAACCTAGAAAAACTGACCTGATTGACCGCCTATGCGCGGCGTTGTAGTCAGAGGCGTCGCTGTTGAAAGTTTCCCACTGTAATGCATCGTGGCTTGCACCCACCCAGGCAGGTATGAGTTACCTACTTGAACTGACTGTTGCCACTCTAACGTTGTCTCGTGAGTCAGCCCCGACGCGTTGCCACCAGCCGTCACAACCTAGAAAAACTGACCTGACTGACCGCCTATGCGTATCTAGCAGCGTAGGAGTCAGAGGCGTCGCTGTTGAAAGTTTCCCGTAATTAACACCGTAATGCATCGTGGCTTGACTTTCTGCTAGACGTTGCTCCTCCACTCCCTTTGAAATCAGCACCCATCTGGGCAGCTATAAGTTACCTACCTGATCTGTCACCAATTTATGCCCGTGGATAGAGGGGTCAGCCCCGNCCACTCCCTTTGAAATCAGCACCCATCTGGGCAGCTATAAGTTACCTACCTGATCTGTCACCAATTTATGCCCGTGGATAGAGGGGTCAGCCCCGACGCGTTGCCACTTGCCACCAGCCGTCACAACCTAGAAAAACTGACCTGACTGACCGCCTATGCGTATATCTAGCAGCGTAGGAGTCAGAGGCGTCGCTGTTGAAAGTTTCCCGTAATGAACACCGTAATGCATCGTGGCTTGACTTTCTGCTTGACACTGCTCCTCCACTCTTTTTGAAATCAGCACCCACCTGGGCAGCTATAAGTTACCTACCTGATCGTTCACCAATTTATGTCCGTGGATAGAGGAGTCAGCCCCGACGCGTTGCCACTTGCCACCAGCCGTCACAACCTAGAAAAACTGACCTGACTGACCGCCTATTCGCGTATCTGGCAGCGTAGGAGTCAGTAGATGCGTCTCGCACGCTGTTGAAAGTTTCCCGCAATTAACACCGTAATGCATAGTGGCTTGCGTTACCTACCTGACTTGTTTGTACCCCTCTATCGTCGTCTCGTGAGTCAGCCCCGTCGCGTTGCCACCAGCCGTCACAACCTAGAAAAACTGACCTGACTGACCGCCTATGCGCGTATCTGGCGGCGTTGGAGTCGGACGCCCGGCGCGGCTCGGCGGCGGAGGCGTCGCGGGCACTCGCGGCGGCGGCGGCGGCGTCGCGCGCGCTGTCGGAGCGCCGCCGGGCTTCGGCCGCGCCCCCCGCCCCCGCCGCGGAGGAAGGAGCGAGGCGGCGCGGACTCTCGGACATCGTGCGAACACGCTGCACATACTTTTCAACTTAGGACGGATTTTTTCAGATAAAGGACTTTAGTTTATAGATGCGTCGGAGACGTTTGGTTCTTAGACCCTAACTTTTAATGTGAAAACGTAAATATTACACCTAACTACAATGTTATGTACAGTAGTGTATCCGTCAAGCTAGCACCCATAACACAAGCATTAAGTTGCTTACTTTGGGGCTAGCTGGCGCTGTGTGAAATTGTCCAAAGATTTATTATTTATTATTATTATTATTTTCTTTATTCAATTTCCTTCTTATTTTTAATATTATTTTTTTACAATGTAAATTATAAATAAACTAAAAATATTATAAAAAAAATTCTTAAAAATAGTTAATCCGCTGGTAGCGGAGCAGGGCCCAAGCTACCGGTGGTCAGGGTCACAGGCTGAGGAACCTCCGGACAATGCGTGCCGTGCTGAGGATCACCGCCTTTTGAATCTGACCCTTGAGCCAACCATCTAGCGAGAGCTTCTTTAGATGTTGGTCGAAGCTCTTCGCTATTAGCCCGTTCGCCGAGACAACTATCGGGACAATGATCGTCGAGTCAACATCCCACATGGCGGTCACCTCGTGGGCCAAGTCAAGGTATTTGCTTTGTTTTTCCTTCTCGGCCTTCACGAGGTTTTCGTCATGCTTATTATTATTATAATGTTTAATTATGAAACCTGAATCGTTGATGCTGGTTACGATAACATAATTTTCTTTGCGATTTATACGATTAATTATAACAATTGATACAATAGTTGTCTATTTTACCATTAGTCTCATTACATTAAAGTTAAACAAAAGAGTAATAAGAACACTAAATAGGTACCTCCGAGAACCGCTGCGAGATCTTGAACTTGTCGTCGATCTTGTACTTGTTCTTCTCCTGCTCCTCCTCCTTGTACTTGATGTCTTCGTCGCTCTGGTCAACCAGCTCGATGCTCTCGTCCTTCAAAATAGTTATGAAATCATCCATAAATTGTATCTTTGTGACTACTAGAATAGTCAAATGTCACCAGTAACCACGAAATATTATGATGGTAGATGGAAGTGTACCTAAACCTGAATTTCTGCTTAGAATAGTGTCACGTGTCTTGTCTTGTATCTACTTTTAAGTTAATCCTAGGCTGATCTAAGTACCTATCTGCATTTGGGGCTGCCATAAATGGTAAGGCAGTCTTAAAACTATTTCAACCGCACTGGATCCATTAAAGATAAAAAATATCACTGTCTTTTGCCGACCCTAAATAATGGGAAAAAGAACTAGGAAAAAGAAGAAGACTGTCTTTTACCTTCTTCACTTTCATTATGGCAGCAGCAGCGTCGTTGTCTTTGGTAGGGGACTTCCTCTCCGGCTTATTAGCTGTGTGTTCTGGACTCGCCTTCTTCGGGCTCCCCACCAGGGTCACTGAGCTGATGGCCCCAGGTGAAGACGGTGATGTCCCTTAGATGAAACACACAATTAGGTCTATTTCACAGCTGAAACTTGTAACAACCCTGACTCCTTCGAGAAAAATTGGTAGTACAGTGAAATATAATAAAGCCTCTTCAGCTAAGAAGAATATTCTTCGGATGTGCCAAAGCCATAAACGTTTTTTAACACTTTTGAATTAATTTTGCCAAACCTTGAGTAAGATGGTGTTAATCCAGGACGACCAAGTCGGAAATTGTGTTGAGCTGAGTGGATTTTAGCTATGGCCAGTGAGGATCATTTTCTATAACATCTATCAACATCAAGTAGGCATTATCATAAATTTACCTTCTTTTCCTTTACCTTTCAAGGTCTCATTGCTCGACGACGTAGCCATGATCTTGGGGATTGTCAAATGGCTGTTATCTTCCTCCGGCTTCAGTAAGCGTGTTCATTACAAATTGAGTGATTAGCTTAATCGTAAAACTAAAGCTATGTATAAAATTAGTTTTAGTTTTTTAGCAAAAGATACCTTGCTAACTGAAGATGTTCTGCGCGATGGAGCCATCAAGTATGGAGACAACTTGTCGTCCTCCTCACCTAAAACGATTAATAAAATTTATCGAAATACGGTAACATCTCTTCAAGGTACTCGTACATTATAAATATCAAAGCCTGTGGGCGTTTCATCAATAAGCGATATGGAAGTTTTTGGAGAAGAAGGCTGTTTGCCGAGAAGAAAATTTAGATCGACCATTGTGTAGTATTTAGGGTAAGAATGAATTCCTCTGCGAAACTATCCCCAAGCTATTATTTATTCAAGATGTCTTATAAGTCTTATGATCTTACTTTTTCGTGAAGTTCTCCAGAATCGTGACTGCCAATCTCTGTCACTGTATTCTGATCCATAACCTGCGAAATATTTACTCGTTTGTATTAGTTCTACAATAAAAATGAATGAATTGGTCTAAGCTACGAGTATCATGTAGGTCTTTTCCTAGAGAAGATGCACCAAAGCAGAACATACTATAATTACCTAGTTTCAAATAAAAAAAACCCAAAAACAATAAATTTAAATCCACAGGCATTGAAAATAAGATTCAGCACATAGAAAACAATAATAACGTCTTAGAACCATTTCATTATCTACAAAATAAATACAAGAAGCAGCAGCTACATTATCCATTTCCCTATCAAGTCCCACTCTTTGCAGCAGGTTATGAAGACACTCAAGCGTAATTTAAGCAAAATATGATGAATATGAGTTCGGCACTTTTCCAAGTAGCTTATAAATATCTTCTTCCTCATCTGCTCCTCAAAATAACATTGCAGCACATAAACTATCCGCTCTTCGAGCTATGTGCCCCGCCCACTGCCACTTGATTTTAGAGATTCTGCGGGCTATATCAGTCACTCTGGTTCTCCTACGGATCTCCTCATTTCTGATTCGATCACGCAGGGAAACTCCGAGCATAGCACGCTCCATCGCTCTTTGGGTGACCTTGAGCCTTCTTATGAGGCCCATAGTAAGCGACCACGTCTCAGAGCCATACACCATCACTGGCAACACACACTGGTCAAATACTTTTGACTTGAGACACTGCGGTATTTCGGACGTGAGAATTTCGCGACTACTCCACTCACCAGACACGGAGCTAGCCGCGCTAGTTTTCCTTGTGGCATCAGGCGGTGGGGCTAGTTCCAACTCCTGCTGCGACTGCTCGTAGAACACCTGCTTCAGAGCCTCGAGCACCGTCACGCCGTCCGTGAACACGCGGTACGTTAGCAGGAACGTGTTGAGGAAGTCCACCGAGAGGAAGCGGAGATCTGGAAATGTGATGTTTTTATACGGGTGACCCATAGAAGCCATAATGTAGTGTACTACACGATAAATGAGCTGTCTTAGAGCCTTCTTGCACCCCGTTAGCTCTTGTATGCTGAAATGCTCATTTTACTTAAGTACTTCAAACTATTCTTGGAAAGTAAATAAGTAAATAGAGACTTTTAAATGTACACCACACAAGCTGACAAGATATTGTAGGCAATTTGAATGGCATTCACGCTAACGAGCGATAACATCACAGTCAATGAACTACAATATTATCAAAGAGGAAATGATTTGAATAGATAGTCTCAAATATAGTCGCAAGTTAACTTACCAGTAAGCCTCTGCAAAAGCCTTTGAGGAGTGGCAGACCGAATCTGTGGCACTTTGCACGAGTTTAACGTGCGGCTAAACCGGATATCCACGTCATCAGTGAAAAGGGCTCGGTCCGAGCGACACGCGGGTAACGAGGCGGAGGCGGCGCCGCAAGCCCCGCAAGCGCGGAGTAGCTCGGTTAGAGCAGCGCTCTCCATGCATTGGGCCAGCTCGCTGGTCCAAGCTGCTTTCTCTTCAAGAGTTGCAGCCACTAGAATAAAAAGATTTTGGCTTGGCACTTTCTCGTGCTGCAACTCTGAATGGGTATTGTATGTGAAACACCTTAGGGAAGATGCTTTACCAAAAATATTGAGAAGATAATATGAAGCAGACACTTATGGATTATGAGTTCCCCTTAACCCAGTTATATGGAGAGGAATTCAAACTTACCCAAATGTGCACAAATTTGTTCGCCTTTGACTTCGACTAGAATCTTGAAGTCTTTCCCTTGATAAGCGTCGCCTCCAGGAGACGAGCATACTGAGGTGTCTGCAAAACGTGATTCGTTTGAAATGTTACTTGACGCTTTTAAATGTATGTTTTTTTGTGTATGTCTAAATATTACCATCATCGTCATGGTTAGACGGGTCCTCGACCAACAAAGCATCGTGCAGAGGCAGTCTCCCTGCAGGAGGCAGGTGCAGCCTTCCTCCAGTAGCCCTGGTGGTCAGCAACAGGTGGTTGCTGAACAGAAAGGCTTGCCTAGCTTGAAGAGTGGCTCTGCGACCTTTGCCTACGACTTGAGAAAGAGTGCCTGCAAACAGATATTGATCAGTATCAAAAGTTTCAGGTAAGGTTTGTAAACTTGAAGATTTCTTATGTACCTTGCCGTATGAAGACTTGGTTGACGTCCAGCAAAATATCACAACCTTCGATGATCATCCTTTCTACCGCCAAATTCTTCCGCAAGTTCTCAGTCTCGCTGACCTGTAAACGGATTAGTGATTTATATTCTGAGCTTAAATTGAACACGGGTAAGATATTTAAGAATTACTTTGTGAAAATCTGGAGACTAATAAATTGGTATCAGTAGATTATGGCACATCACATTAACGCTACATCATGTGTGACGGACACATCATTTGGAAACCATGGACTAACTGTAGTCTGATTAATAAAATATTTGAACTTGAATTGAATTCGAAAAGAAATACAAATATCTGTGAGAAACGGTGGCTCTTTTATTCAAACCAGAATTCCCAATCCTTACCTCATCGTGCATCTGGCGCGACAGCTCTTCAAGCTGCGCACGCGCGTGCTGCAGGCTGCGGCGCTCGACGTGGTCGTGCGGCGTGTGCGCCAGCAGCTCGTGGAGAGTTATTATGTATCGAGGAATCTGGATAGACCGTGGCGGATCAGTTTTAGAACTAAGCTAGACCCGCAGACATAATATATCACGATTATTTAGATTGTGCATCACATCAACATCTGTTACCCCTAGGCCACAAGCATCATTCGCGAATACTTCGGTGCTTTTTTGTATAGCCACAAGGACACCGCTGTCACTTGAATATTATAGCGATGTGTGTGGCCCAGGGGTAAGAAGCAACTGCAGTGTAATGTTATAGTTTGTTAGTTTCGAGTACACAGTTCTTTATGAGCGACTTGCAGCAAATAAGTGATGCTCATTTACATTGGGTGGGCCAGCTCTTGGTACCATCTGGCACAAGATTACATCCAGTAAGCTAATAACACGACACCCATTCATACCTGGTTCATGGGGATCGCGAGGAAGGAGTCCAGGCCTAAGCTCTGGTAAGCCGGCTTAGTCTTCCGCCGCTCCAGTAACTGAGCAAACAGCTGGCTATGTTTAAAATCCGTTATCACTGAGGCCGCGAACGCACTGATAGTGCTAGCATAACGCCTAGTATCTAGCTAATCCACGTGCTAATAATAATGCTATGTGAATAGTGAAGGACCAAGCAAGATAATAATTAAAAGAATCTAAAAAATATGCGCCTCAAACACACTAACTGTTCACCTGGATCCAGGAGAGCTGAATAGATTCATTCCTTTTATGATCTAAATAACTCTACTGGGACTCGAACCTGGGGAAACTTACAGCTGAGGAAACCGTATCGTGGCCGCCGAACGTGCCTTCAATTTCACATATTTATTTGGGCGTCGTCTCGCTAGACACTAAGCGCAGTAAGGCATTTGCCAGTGCGTTTCAAGGCCAGAAAAATCAATAGTAAAGGGGGTACATGCAAGGGTTTTTGCTTATTGGTGATTGAATTCAAAAATCCCATTGCGTGGTAAAACAAGACAAGACCCTGAGGAATGAATAAAAACTAGAGGCAGTCCGAATTAAAAAGCAAGATGGTTAGTTGTAGATTTTTGCACCATGTGTACCTAAAACTATTGTTACCTGATGCATAGGATAGGTGAGGAAGGTTTCCAAGCTTCGGCTCTGGCAGGCTGACTTGCTTTCCAGACGGGCCAGGAGCTGAGCGAATGGCTGCGTCTGCTTGCACTCCGTCAGCACTTGCAGCGAGTAGTGGTGGTTGCGCACGTACTCCTGGTAGATCGTCAGCATCGGGAGCAGCATGTCGAATAGGTCTCCTATATGCAGTACACTACTAAGTATTGGTTCATATTACAGTAATAAAATCCCATTGCGTGCGTGGGCTAGGCACATAAGTCATAGAGCTGAGGGCCGCTGGGGCAGTAAAGTTCTTGAGTGGCGACCACGAGCTGGAAGACGTAGCGTGGACAGGCCTCCCATTAGGTGGACCGACGATCTGGTGAAGGTCGCGGGAAGTGCCTGGATGCGAATGGCGCAGGACCGATCTTTGTGGAAATACTTGAGGGATGGCCTTTGTCCAGCAGTGGACGTGTTTCGGCTGAAACGAACGAACGACCGAACAGTAATAAAAAATGTGTCCTTAAAAATTCTGCGTTTTAAAACCAAGCTTAATGCGTTTGAACTTTGAACCGTCCATGATCCTAGTGGTTTTTTTACGGGTAGCATACATAGAAAATCAGCACCTAAATTATTATTATAATTTGATATACATTACAGGCCCTTAGTGATCATCGTTTGTCTAATGACTATAAACAATTCACCTAATACGAGTGTGGGCCAGGACTCCATTCTCGAGGTGAGCCCTTTGAAGAAGATCTGGTGCAAGAACAGCACCGTCTCGCTGTTCAGGAAGATGGAGTTCACATCCTCGTGGGTGCACGGCGGCTTCTTCGAGCTCGCCGCCATTTTGAACGGACGGAGGAAGCAGGTCACCTATGATCATGATAAATAATTAAGACAATTTTAAACTGTAAAAAATAATTTTAGGCTGGGTTGCACCATCTTACTTTAACTTTAACAAACGTCAAAAATCTGTCAAACTCCATTCACAAAACATCGGTTATATAGATGACCCACGCTGAACTGCCCACCAAACTCAATGACAGGGGGGCGCTACCATCGTTCAACTATATGGTTTCCAAAATGGCAAAAATCGGAACTAGCGATCTGGTATTGACGGTGGCGCCCCACTGTCAATGTCATGGATAGGACAGTTCAGTATTTTGGAAATATAACGTTATAGTTACTGTCAAAGTAAGATGGTGCAAGTCAGCCTTAAAGTTTTTTTTTATTATACTGACCAGAATCTCCATCTGCTCAAGATATTCTTCTTCAGCTTCAACCATTTTGAAAACGAGGCTGCAATAATACATTGATATTTAAAGAACAAGTCAGCCATTGAGTCATTCCAAGCTACGAGTACATAACTAAACCAATAAAATACCTGTTCCTCTTCCTCATGCTCTCAGCATGAGGACTCTTGATGTACTGCTCAACAATCTGCTTCCATCGACGTCTGCACAGCCATCCTCTAAAGAAGCTCTGGAAAATTACACAACATTGAAAACAACTTAGTTACCTAATATTTTGTAGAAGCCTATAAATATTGTAATCTTGAAGACTTACCTGAACCTTTTTGATCTTCCTCAACTCAGCCGGGTCAATTTCTGGAGAGTCGGTAGGCGATAGACTCGTGGTGGAATCAGCACGAGTGCTCGGTTCATGTTCCTTTTTGTAAGTGCACAGCTAAAACAACCGAACAGAATATTTTTACAACCAATAGGTAATTCCGCACACAATGATTTTATTCGTTTCATCAAAAACAAGGCCCGCACAAAAGAGGATCTATCTGGGATTTCAGGGAATGCGATGTGGTTGGGGTCAATACAGTGCTATTGAATTAATTTTTTATAATTCAGCAAAAAATTTATTAAATTGTAGTTCTGGATTATTGTAAATATGGTAATCCTCTGTCTGTTTTAAGGTGGTCTATGAATGAATGACATATGCTATCCCTAATAAGTGACCCCTATGGTAACAGACATAACAGGAATTTAGTTTTCATAGGGGTCACTTAAAAATTAGGGATTGATGGTGAAAACGGACATTAGGGTCCTTCACTGCAAGCTATAGGTATATGCAGGCTGTAACTAAAATGTAAACCTTTTAGTGTAACATTTCATCGCTGCAATGGGCAGTACCTCAGTCCGGAGCTTCTTGACTTCATTGCTGAGTTCGTCACACTGCTGTGCGTACTGCCAACGCGAGGTCCGCTCGCTTTCCACCACCTGCAGGAGATGCAGCTGCTTCTGCTCTAGTTCTTCCTTCTGCAGCAGCAGTTTGTTGAAACTGAAACAAACAGATGACTGTAAACTATAGAAACAAAAAGGTACTATGTATGTTCTTTGAAGTTTATTTTTCTTACGACTTTATTTAACCCAAAGGCGCCACCTATCTTTAACTAAATGTAGACTTGGTAACCACCTACTGATATTTGTATTTTTGTCTAATAAGTAGGCTTAGGATTAATAATTCAGTATTGTAAGAGTTCATCTAATCAATTCTTGAAGATGTTGCAAGCAGCTTGACAATTTTCGAAACATTTTGAGTTAGTTAAGTTACTTAAAAGTAAATTGGTAATATTACTTAAAAAGCGCATTTAGAATAAATTTGTAATTAAGTATCTAATATTGATATTCTTCCCATGGGCGCAGTTAAAACTTTTAAATGACGTTCAAGTAAGCCGCCTTTGATCCACTCCTCTACAGTAACTTTGTATTGTGACGAGGAAATGAGTTTTCTTCTTGTCCTCTTCCCCCGCGGACACCGTACGAGATGGACGTGTGTTAGTGACTGAGATACTTAAATAATAATTAAAATTAAAAGTGAAAAATTTTGAGTGCGAGTGGATTTGAACCCGCGACATCGGTGTTCGGTCCGCGCGTGGTATAGTTCGGCTACCGAGACAGCAACTCACGGCGGCGAAANTTAAAATGTAAGTAGATAAGTATATTAATTAATAATATTTTTTGTTTGCGCAATAAAGCACTTATTACTATTACACATTATGTCAATTTTCAAGCAAACCCGGGAGTTTTTGGTAGTTATTTATATGAAAATATATTTCTGATATTAAGTCCTAACAAATAATAGTAGTTACATTTCTGTTGGTTTTACGCCCAGATTCCATAGAAAAGTGCCCATCATCCTTTGTGAGAGACGTGCCTCAAGCTAGATATAAAATAAACTTTGCATATACGTGGTTGGCAAATTAACCTACCTAGACAGCAATATTGTTGGGATAATCCCTCCACCTTCCAGTTCAAGTTTAAACCCAATTTTCCTTTGCGCATGAACTGTGAAATAATTAAGTCGATGTTAGAAGTTTGTAACTAAAGCTGGTTGAATCTTATTGGCTACCCTATTGGGTAGGTAATGCTTAAGAGGTGAATATCGTTCGTTCGTTTCAGCTAAATGACGTCCACTGCTGGACAAAGGTCTCCCCCAAGGTTTTCCACAATGAACGGTCCTGCGCTGCCCGCATCCAGGCTCTTGCTACAACCTCTACCAGATCGTCGGTCCACCTAGTAGGAGGCCTGCCCTCGCTACGTCTTCCAGCCTGTGGTCGCCATTCGAGAAATTTTCTACCCCAACGGCCAACGTCTCTACGAGCTATGCGCCCCGCCCACTGCCACTTAATTTTAGCAATTCTGCGAGCTATGTCGATCACTTTGGTTTTCCTGCGGATCTCCTCATTTCTGATTCGATCACGCAGGTGAATATGCTTTGCAAATGGCAATCACTTAAATTGAAACCTGTAATAAATGTAGCTTTAAAATGATATTTTTTTCCGGACGGTAATAAGACCCGGCAATTAGGTTTAAAATATTGATTGATTTAAGAAGGCTTACCAACGAAATATACTGGGCAACCTTAGACTGCATCTCACTCACCTGCCTTGTTTTATATGAAAAACTAGCGGCCGCCTGCGACTTCGTACGCGTGGATCCCGCTTTATCCCCTCAGGGGTAGAAATGTTCAAAATCCTTTCTTAGCGGATGCCTACGTCATAACATCTACCTGCATGCCAAATTTCAGCCCGAACTATTCAGTGGTATGGGCTGTGCGTTGATAGATCACTATGTCAGTCAGTCACCTTTATTTAGATAGATACCTACCAGAGCACGGAGACATCCCCAGTTGAAGATTATTATTTAGATTTGACGTCACGAGAATTCTCAAAACTTCCAAAAGTAAAAAATAATATCAACGGTACAAGAAATCACCATTTCCCTGGAGGACTAAAAGTTGAGTAGGTTCTGACATAAAATGGATAACTGACACTACAAAGTTTTTGCCAAACTCAGTCTCTGGGGCCGCGGAGCTAAAAAGCCTCGTTTCTTGCGGAATGACAGGCGCTGTCAAAGATTTATTATATGGCAGCGTCTTCAAGATACTGCCTTGAGACTTGAGTCTAGAATTATTTTATTTGTAAAATACGATGTTGGTATTTTTATTTCATTTATGGTAAACAAAAAGTTCGGTTACACATGCTCATAAAAATGTCATGCTTATTAGCATGCTTAAAACAAGCGTGCTTGAACTACTCGAAATGAGCATGCTTATTTATTAGAAAATGTTTCGATACTAACCCCCTTACTAATAAAAAGTTACACACTTGTTGAACACTGTTTTCAAATGACATTTCCGTCACTTTAGAGCACTGTTCAACGAGTGTTTAATTTTTAATAGTTAGTAAGTATCATCTCTCAATAGTGACATACTTTTGTGCTTCTATGAGCATGTGTAGCTTATTTGTAGCTTTACTTACCTACCTGTCTATAATTAAAAACACTGTATTAAAAGTGCAATATGACTGAATTGTGTCGCATGTAGGAAGGTATTTCTCGTTTTTCTAGCACAATTACATTGAGAATAGTGGCACAGATCTTCTCAAGAGAAAACTATCCATCATGCAAGTCGCAATAATAGACCTTTCTATATTTAGACTTGAGCTTACAGAGGAAAATGGAGCTTTTTTCATTCTGTTCCCACATATAACATAAAATATGTACCTAAACAGTCTTATTATGTCGACTTTCGCGTGACATAGTATTTTGTAATGTCTTGTTTTGTCTGGGCTAAGAGACTGTCTGAAAGCTTATATTTAGGCGCAAATTAATATAAATGTGAAGCTTGCTTTCCATTTGAATAAGATTACACTGAAACACCATTTTGGTGCTTATTCGCTAGACTTTTAGTATTTTATTTATACAAAAAAGTAAATTGTGAATTACGTACGAACACTGTTAAAAATATGAAAAGGAACCAGTAAAAGAAACGACAATAACCAAGAAAAACGATTTGGACTCCGTGTAGAGTTTCATAGCGTAACTAGCTGTGCCCGCGACTTCGTGTGAATTTTCTTTGAATAATTTTCCCGTTTTTTTTACTGGTGGTCCGCCCCTATTGGTCGTAGAGTGATGTTAAAATAGCCTAAGTAGGTAGGTAGGAAAAACAAAATCTGAGATTAGCGCGTTCAACCAAACAGACAACCCAATAAACTCTTCAGCTCTATAACATTAAGTATAGGTTTAAACTGTTTACATCCAGTTTTCTTGGAACCTGTATCTGTACCAAGATCTAAATAGAATTGAATTAGTCACGCTGCATCCGGGAAATCCAATTACCCTTCTGTTATTGGCGACAGATATCTACCTAGTTGTCGAGGGCTGCCTCGAGGTGGCAATGCTGTGAACTAATTGAACTAGCTTATACAATTAGGCTTTGTTTAGACGTGTCTACCCACAAGAACATATGACGTTCTACCGGCATGCAGTACAAGCTTGCCATGAGCCGAGACAGGCCGAATGCGACAGTGTACGTAGGGCGATTCCACTATCTTGGATGCAACATTTGACGCATTTAAACCTCTTTGACGGTAAAACAAAAATCGTCGTTAATGAAATTGATCTTGGAAGACTTACATTTTAACCCTCCTCCCATTACATAATTATCGAATTAAAATTATTGTACACTAATATAAAATGAAAAGGGCAAAATGTACCTCTTCTAATATCAATTTCATCAAAAATATTTTTTGTTTTATCGTTCAGGATTTATTTTATTGAACGTTTTTATTATTTTGTCGTTTAAATGCGTTTATGTGTTGCATCCACGATAATGAAATCTCCCAAGGAGCTCTCGTTTCCTCTCGGGGTGTCTCGCTATCGCTTCCGCACATGGGGCTGTCTCGCAAGACATTCGGGCGAGACTGGGCGAGAGATCTCGGACGAGACTTTCACGAGCTTAAAGTGTACTGCCAGAATAATACTGCAGTCTACTCACCAAACCCGCCGACATGAGTCGTCGACTTTTGACATGAATATGCATAAATATTTAAATTATACACTGCGCCATCTAGTCCCAAACTAAGCAAAGCTTGAAACATAAAACAGTATACATTCTAATATTTTTATTCATAGTTAATTTAGTCACTAAATTTATCATTATACTTAGTCCTTCTGGCGCAGTCGGGTAAAACTATTAATTAATAAATATAAAATATTAAAATTACTCATATTAACGAAATTAAATATGTTTTTGGCGGTGTGGTTAGTTACGGACTAAAACAGCGGTCGCGGTTTGAGTCCCGGAAATTGCAAATGTATTGTGGTCAATGCTACCATATTAATCATTAAATCTGATAATTATTTACATGATATTGATATCATTATTAATATTAGCATAATTTGTATGAAAACATATCAATACCTACCTACAAATTTCATACCGAACCTCGCGTCCCGATCATCATCAAAAACATTTAGTAATTTTTGGAAGAATACATTTAGGTATTTAGTTATGTTAATATTAAGGCCAGTTAAAAGATGTCCGGCTTACTTTATAAACATTAATCTCAAAGCATGAAAACTGCTTCGGCTTAGAGTAGACTCTTACTTAATATCTCAGTAAATGGCGACGCAAGTTTGTTCAAAACAGTAATTGCATTAGTTTCAAACTACTATGTTTACTAGCTTCAATCTAAAGTCGTGTTCGCAATGGACGAGGGTCTAAGTATGAATCTATGAACGGTGAAATCACACAATTCGTAATGTAGACGAGGGTTTATACACTCGACATCAAATAAATCGCACCTCCCGCGACAAGCATTTTCAAACGTATGCATCCCCACTTCCCACCAATTTGGCACCATTGAAAAGCCTAGTTCTAAACTTCATTTCATTAAAGGAAAGGTTTTTACCCCAAAAATATGTC